ATATATATTACATTTAGTGTATATATACTACATTTTCTTTAGCCATTCATCCACCAATGGATACCTCAGTTGATTACTTATCTTTGATGCTGTGAATAGTGCTGCAATATACACTGGAATGCAGCTGTCTCTTTGATATAATGATTTAATTTTCTTTGTATATAGATCCAGTAGTGAGATAGTTAGATCAAATGGTAGTTCTAATTTTATTTTATTTTATAATTTTTTTGAGACAGGGTCTCACCATGTAGTTCAAGCTGGTCTTGAACTATATAGCTCAGGCTGGCCTGTTACTTGCAGTGATCCTCCTGTCTCAGCCTCCCAAGTGTTAGGATTACAGGTGTGCACCACCACACCTGGTGGTAGTTCCGATTTTAGTGTTTTAAGGAATTTCCATACTGCTTTCCATAATGGTTGTACTAATTTATATTAGAAGGAACTGATAAATACCATACACCATAAATATGTACAATTAAAAATAATTTTGAATGGAAAAAGACACAAAAGGAGTACTTTAAAAAATATTCTTACTCTTTTCTTGTTCACAGAACGCTTTATGGGCAGGGAAACATCTGCCAAAACTGTTCATTCAGTTACTCAGGAATCACTAGTTACTAGGAGGTACAAACATCTGAAGACATATAAGACTCAGAGAGCTCACATTTTAGTAGGGAGAGTGAAAATGTAGTGCAACAAGGGAAGGGTAGGGAAGTATGACCATAAATTAATGTAGGCATCACAAAAAATGATGACCACAGAGCACTGGATAGGTTAGCCTTTGGCCAAGTGATGGAGATACAGGAAGAACTATAACAATTATGGCACTAGAATTATCCAACACGATTTGGAATAACTGACAGCATTATGTAATAAGCAAGGAAAAAAGAACAGGTAAGAGTGATTAAGTGAATATTTTATACAGAAATTACTAATAAACCAAATTCATTCCCACACTCTGCCTTTCTTTAAAAAAATAAGCTCTTACTTTGGCATTATATAAGATATGACATTTATGGCAGCTGAGGATGAGGTAGCAATCAGCAGCTTTTGCAACCGTTTTGGATCCTGAGGTGATGAAGCATTTACTATGTGTTATTAATTTCTTCATGTACCCTACAGTCAAATATTATTCTTACTATAGGTAAGACAAAAATAATGAAATCTGTCCCCTCAATAACATCTTTTCACTTGAAGATTTCACATTCATTAATTCCCAATATCCTGGTCAGATATGTTATAGAAGGAAACTAAGATACAGAGGCAAACAGCTCAAGGTCAATGGATAAATCAATAACAGATCTGGAAAAGGATATACATTCTAGTTCTTGATCTACTTCTAAGTCATATCCTCATCATGAAATGTTTCTTTCATTAAAAGGGTTTCTAAGAGCGGTTTATCTTTGACTGTAAATAACAAATGATTGAATAGCCTTGGATAACTATAAAATGAGTTTAAACACTGAAGAAATAGAAGTGTGCTAATTTTGTTTCAATAAGATTCTAGACTCATCTGTTTAAAACAGATGAGAAAAAAGCATTAGTAAATTCTAGAGCTGGGAGGGAATATAATTGCCTATATTTCCACACATGCTTCTATTTTTCATATCTTTTTTAGTCCTTAAAGCATCTTCCCTGCAATGCAGCTATTTTAATGAACAGAACAAATGTATTATTGAACATAAGTGAAATAACTAAATCTTAAGTAGGCACGCAGTAGAGTGTATTATAAAAGTATTATTCTTATGTGGCAAAAGAGCTATCAATTTTCTATCAGGAATTAAAATGGTAATAAACCAAGAGTATCCTAGTACACTTATATCACAAAAATTACTACACAAAAGGAAAATTTAAATGTTAAGAACTCCATAAAATTTACAGAATTCTTTATAAATCCAACTTCCATACAATGTTGTATTAAAAAGCTCAACTTCTGATATTATTTTTGATTTTAGAATAAGAATCATTCACCCTGAGCAGAATTTACTAAGGTTTGCAAACTTATTTACAACATTTAAACGAAGCCTTGAAGTATTATCTGCTGAATTTCAATCAGGGAAACCCAGTTTTCTCCCTAAATGCCTACCTGCGCATTGGCTTTCCTTCCATGCACCATGAAAAGCACCCCTTACCACACTCTAAAGCCGAACCTAAAACAAAAGAAAAGCAGTAACTTAATAAAAGCTATTTCTGACTTTTCCAGCAAGAACCTTTATAATTACATCATTCATTTTGTTAGTAATCAAGAATTAAGGTCTTTTGCAGATGCACAAGCACAACCGAATCTAGTCTTTTAAAATGACTACTAACCTTACTCTGCATGCTAAGACGACTGTATGCGAAAGTGAGGAAAAGTGCACTGAACAGTTTGCTTGCTAGGTCGATCTTGTATCTTTTCAAAAAGTGCTTGGAGGCATTTAATTTTGACTTTGCCCTCAAGAGTATATTTACTGAGCAATAACCTGATACCCATGGCAGTGCTAATCTGACGGATCGGACAAGGGAATACTTTGGTTTAACAACCAATCTTACAGTGGTTAACTTGTCTGAAAGTGACAGAAGCAGGAGGCGGTGTTTGCCTTTCAAAACAAGCAGCTCCGCTTCCGACTGCCCCGGGAGCCGGGAAGTAAGGCTCAGGACTAACACTCTACGAATCCTTTCTTTAGTCCCCGAAACACTGTTAGGAGGAACCCACTTGGCAGGATCTCGCCAGGTTCCAAGGGTTAAACGGGACGGATAAGTAACCTACTCCTTCCCCCAAATTCCAGGAGCTGCCCGGGACAGCTATCCAGGGTGCAGAACCCAGTGTTCCAAGCAAGACAGCCCGGCACCTACCCCGGTTTCAGGATAGGGCTGTCAGCCAGCAAAAGCGCAGTCTGGCTCCCCATGAGGCCTTGCCCCGGAGCCCCAAAAGCCTCTTTTCGGCGCCTACTGACAGGCGACTGACAAAGCACTGCCCTGACCCCATCCGACAGCTCTGTAACTTGGAATTACTCATTTGCAAAGCTAAGCCTGGCGCGCTGTCTTCTGCTCACAGCTCTAAGGCAGCTCACTTACTGGCTCTCACACTTTTTTTCTGCAACAGCCTTCTCTGCCTCCTCCGCCCTCCTCTCTCTCTGCCTCCGCCTCTGCCGCCGCTACCGCAAGCAGGATGCAGCTCTCGGAGCTATTTCCTTTCCCTGCAACCGCCCCTAGCCAGACGCAGGAAGTGGTCCTTTGACTAAATCCTTCCGGCCAAAACCCACATAGCCCAGAAAGCCGTTCCGGCGCGCCTCCGGAAGTAGCCACGCCCTTTGCTGGGGATCCTGGTAACACTAAAAGACTTCCTTGTCCTCAGAATGATCATAGTTTATGGATGCCCTGGCAGCATTTAAATACTGAAGCTTCTTTTCTTCCTTTCTTCCTACCCTCAACAAAGGTAACAGAAAGATGGGAGTAGTTATGGAAAAGTAGGAATTTTGATTTGTGTGTAACTGGTGTGCCTTCTGGTACAATGTTGTCCTTGATTGTGGATTGAATTACACACACACACACACACACACACACACACACAACATACCACACATATATGTGGGGCCGACATATATCTATCAGGATCCTACTGCACGGAGGTGCTGAGGATACACAGACAAATCAGAAATGGACCTGACTTCAGATTTCCCACAGTAGTTTTCAGCCAACCAGTATTTTATACAGGATTCTGCTGCAGTGCCAGCGTGTCCCCTTTGCTTGGTCTTTGCTGGTTTTTTCAGTTTTTATTTTTATTAGCACATGTATGCTGTACATAATGATTATATTCCTTGTGGGGAGTTGGTATATAACACATCTCAATGCTTTTCTAATCCCCTTCCCCTCCTCCACCTCCACCTCTAGGTCCTTTTCCTATTTTGCAAAACATTTATCTCCCTGATTCCTATCATCTATCATTTATCTGGCTCTTTTTTTGGGGGGGGTCTCTTTATTTAACTTCATGTGTCTGATTTATTTCACAACAGTATGGTCTCAAGGTGCAGCCACTTTCCTACAAATAATTCAAGCTTATCCTTTATGGCAGAGTAGTACTCCACTGTGTATTTATCTTTATCTATTTTCTTTATCCATTTATGTGGACTCACTTTAGTGTTGGGCAAGAAAATTTTTTTTTCCAATCTGTCTTTTGCTCCAGATTGTCCCATAGCACATGGTCACCTGAGTTTTACTACATATTTAGAAAATAAACACATAATGCAAGTGTAAAGTGGGGGAATATCAAGAAAAGACTGATTTTTTTAATATCTATTCTAAGACATTAGCCAGATTTTCTTTAGTTGTTTTTGACATGAAATCTATACTTGTCCTGTTGTTTTTGAAGGGGAAAGAATACCTCTTTGTAATGAGTTTGTGATGGGAAATGAGTGGTCTTTAGTTCCAGGCAACCATAATTTAAAATTTTAGTCCTCTGATTACCTTTGTGATCTGGGCCATATACTTGTGTGTATGTGATATATATACATGCAGTAAAATTATTTTCCATGTTTTAAAACTGTATACATGGTACTAAAGTATATACATTATTCTGCAATTTTATTTTTCCACTCAACATTCTGTTTGTAAGCTTTGTCATGCTGATTGATGAAAGTCTAATTCAACAATTCTTAAAGTAAAGTATCAACATCACTTGAGAAATGCAAATCTTGCCTTTCACCACAGAATGACTGAATCAGAAACTATGGGAGGAGCCATCACTTGTGTTCTAATGTATTATCCAGGTGGTTGTAAAGCATTAAAGTTTGAGAACCACAGCACTGATTTCTTTTCTCTGTGTAGTATTCCATTATAGGACTATACCACAGATTTAAAAAAATATATAACCCTACTGTAGGGGTCGAGCTTGTTATAACTGCAGCCATCATGGTTGTAACTACCATTTTGCCCACCAGCTGACTCTGGCACACATCCCAGACCCTATAAGATGAAGTTATCAGGATAGTCAGCTAAGCATGCTGTGCTGGCCGCTGATGCCAAGACTGTCTCTTAACTGATATTTAACATATTAATAGTTTCTGAAGCTATTAATGCGGGTACATTCTAGCCGGGGCTATTGCTCACCTTAGTCTAGATTAGCATATGTCTTGGTCACTTATCGCTGAGATATAATACCTGATACCCACAATTTAAAGGAGGAAAGGAAACTTCACAGTTTGTAGAATTTTCAGTCCATAGTCTGCTCGATCCAAAGCAGGAAAACACAGCAGAGGGGCATCGCAAAGGAAAAGTGTCCTCATGGCATGGCGGCCAGAAGCAGAGTGAGCTCAAGAGACAAGAGGGGGAGATATACCTTTCTAGGCCATGCCTCACCTTCTCCCGTAACCCACCTTCTCTAACCAGGCATCACCTCCCAACATCACATTCAGCTATAAAATCATCAGTGGACTAATTCATTGATGGGTATCATGTCCCCGTGACTCCAGTCACCTAAATGCCCCACATATGAAGCTTTGGGGGGACATCTAGATATAAACCATAACAGCAACTTCTTTGGGGTGAAAAGATCGTCCTGTCATGCTGCCACTCACGATATGTCCATAAATCCCTAATAATGAAAACTTTGTACAATCCTAGACTTGTCTGCTCTTTCTTTGCTCTCCAGCACCTTCCATCTTTGGTGGGCAATTCTCATAATAAGGATTGGGTTTCTATAAAATACCTACTCTGTTGATTACTTCTCTCTCATTGCTGAGAAAAACTACCTGACACCAAAAGTTAAAGGGGAAGGGTTTTATCTGGCTTATGGTTTGTAGAGGTTTCAGTTCATAATCAGCTGGCTCCAAGGCAGGTATGGCAAACAGGCATTACAGAGGAAAGACAATATGGCACCCACAAGGAGGCAAAGGTAACAAGAGAGTTAACAGCGTCTCCCTGCCCCTTTTATCTTATTCAGACTACTTGCTGCAGATAGCACTTACACCCTTAATCCTGGTGCCTAGCATTTCATCATGACTCAATTCCAGCTTCACACACTCTAGATCAAGCCTATGACCACATGACGCTTTGGGGGGGCATCTAGATCTGAACTATGACACTTACAGATGGATATTTTGTGTTTCTGGTTTTCTCTATTACAAACAATGCTGCAGTATAAGTTCTTGCATGTGGTTCCTTTTGTACATCTATAAGAGTTTTTCTAGGATATGCCCCAAGGAATAAAATTGCTGAGTATGCTATGCACAGCTTTAACTTTTTACTACAGTTTCACCACACTAATCAAATGGATCTCTGTCAACTGGTTGTCTGTTTTATTTTATTATTATTATTATTATTATTATTATTATTATTATTTTGGTACCGTTTATTGAACTCGGGTCCTTGCATTTGTGAGACAGGCAGTAGAACCACTGATCTAAATCCCCGGCCCCTTTGTCTGTTTTAATAATATTAGAAAATATTTAATATATCATATTATATAGCTCATCAATACTCATACCACTTCTCTCTCTCTCTTTTTGGTATGGGGGATTGAACTTGGGTTGCTGCACCTGCAAGGCAAGCAGCGGAACCAGTGAGCTAAATCCCTGGCTCTCATACCACTTCTCTTGAGGAAGGATCTATTCACATCTTTCAGATTTTGCAGAAGGCACCAATATGTTACACAACTGGCCCGAAGTTGGTTACTCCTGGGAAATACCTTTCTGGATTAGACAGCGACTAAGACGCAGAGCCAGGCCTTGGTACCATCCACAATGACTCTATAGTCTGTGCTTCCAGCCACAGTGTCATATTGCCTCTCCCGCAGAAGGGTACGGGAGTTCTCACTGGTCCATATTATTGCCATGCATGATGTTTCCAAACTTTAAGTTTGGTCATGTCAACTCGATGGCTATAAAATGGTTAGGATGTATGCTTCACTGATTACTATTGAAACATCTTTTTATCTGTGAAGCTGACACTGTTTCCTTTGTGTGAATTGCCTATAATAAAATACAGCTTCTTTTTTTTCTTTTTATTGAGTTTATTGGTACAATCTAGGCATACAGTACAGTTACATTCATCATTGGGATCCTGTATCTTTACATGATAGGTTTTGATTCTCATTTTTCCCCTTGTCCCTGCCCTCCCTTCACCCCCCTCCTCCCCTCCCCATTTACAAACACTTTATTTCCATTTTTTCAGTTTCTCATATTTTTTTCCTCTCCCTTATTACCTTTCCCCCACCCTTCCCACTTTCCCTACACCTTTAGCCCTTTACTTCCTATTTCACATTATTAATTATCTCATTAGGATCTTGTGTACTATTACAGCTTTTCACACAAGAGAAACTATTTGGTATTTCAGTTAAAGAAATCTCTGTATGAACATTAAAAATAGGAAATCCTAAAATAAAACTAAAAAGGAAAGTAAAAGAGAAAAGGCAATGATGTAAGATTAAAATAATCCTTAATTCCGGAGATGAAAATGGTCCCTGAACATATTTAAATTGCTTCTTGCTCTTGTAGTCTTATCTTATTCTTTTTTTTCATTATTTAGAGAGTACTTTATTAGTTTCTGTAATCAAACGCACGTAGATATGACCTTACATACTTAATACAGTGAGTTACCCCTGTACAAATGGGAAAAAATTAACATTTCTAGACCAGTATGGCTGTCAATTTCTGTACAATGCCAACTCAACACAGTAAATTGGGATAACTTTTTCCAAAGTCGACAGCACAGTTAAAGTTTCCAAAAATTGAAATTATATATATATATATATATGTATATATTTATATTTTATAAAAAA